GCCCGGCCGAGCGGCTGGTCACGTCCTACACGGTGAGCGCGGGCAGGGCCGGCCGAGCGGCTGGTCACGTCCTACACGGTGAGAGCGGGCAGGGGGCCGGCCGAGCGGCTGGTCACGTCCTACACGGTGAGCGCGGGCAGGGCCCGGCCGAGCGGCAGCCTCAGCTTGGCGGAGTTGTCCGTCCCCGAGGGACTGGGACCTTGGCTTGCAGGCATCGGGCGTCCTGGTGGGAGGAGCAGCATGGGTTGGTGGCCTGTCCCTCAGGGTACGGCCTCCCCCATGGTCGGAGCGGGCCCACCAGGTGGTAGGGAGGGGTCTCACATGGGGTTTAAGGGAGCGGCCGCTGGCCCTCTGGCCCTCAGGTGTCCTGGCTCGTGCCGGCTCCATGGCCCGCGGCCTGCTGCTCTTGGGGCAGGTGGGGGTCTGGGACCTTTGTGTCACCGAGGCGGTGGTGGTGTCCCTGTTGTTTTAACTGCCTGGAGGAAGTTCCCTGCAGGTGTCCCAGCCCAGCAGAGCTTCATTCCCCTTCTTTAGCCCTGGGCTGTTAAAAGCAAGTCCCAGCATCGGTGTGATTCGATTTGTAGACGTTCGATTACACAACTGCTGTTGTCACACGAACACACAACCCCGGTTCTGTTAACGGAGCCGGTAGCATTCTAGAGGCAGTCGGGAAGCGTTACAGGTGTAGGTCCTCAAAGTACCTGTTTGCTTCCCGGGACCACGTTCCCTTCTGATCCCACGTCAGTCGGCCACGGCTCTGTAACAGCCTCTGTAGCCAAGCTGCTCGCCCCAGCCTTCCACCAGGGCAGTGTTAGGGTGTCCATTGCCATGGGTGCTGTGTTCTCTGTGACGCCATGATCGCCTTCCGTGTGTTCCAGTCACTGCCGGCCACCGTGATGATGCCGCCTCAGCCTGTGGTCCTGATGCCCACTGTGTACCAGCAAGGCGTCGGCTACGTGCCCATCACAGGTGTGTGTCACTCCCCCTCCCTGGTGCTGTCCTCGGGGGCTTGCGGCGCAGCGTGCAGGCTAAGTCCTGTCTGCGCATGACTCACGGGATCCTTCCAAATACAAGGATGTGGTCTTAGGCTTGAATTATTTTATACGTCTGTAGGATATAGGTTTTTTTCCCGACTGTTGGCAGGTTGAACTTTTGTGGAGGTGTAGAAACGTAATCTCTGAACATGTTGGTATACGAGTTATCGTCATGAAAGATCCTGCCCTGTGGGGTGACGTGAGCCATGTGCCCAAATGTGCCTGTTCTGTCGTGTTTATTCATCTTTGTAAAGTAGCAGTTTGTGACAGCAGTTGGGTTGCTTACATGTCTTTGGATTTTCAAATGTTAATGTCAGCCATCGGCTCACTTCTGCCCTGGCTGTGATGGTAACTGGACTCAACCAGCCCCTGCCGCAAACAGCCATGAACCCAGGCAGAATGGACGAGGCGGCAGCTGTGATCGGGCATCAGCAGACAGGCCCTGTAGGACTGTGATCCCCAAGAGAAGGGAGGCGGAGGAGCCCCGGGTCACCGCGGTCTCTGCCCAAGGCAGCATGGTGGTCCCACCGTGCGAAAGGGGCTGGACTGGGGCAGGACGCTGGGGTGCCCCGGGGTTTCCACCCAGCCAGAGAAGAGAGGCCTCATCATTGTGCAGTTGCTGCTGGCGCAGGACCAGGGTGTCGCCTTGGGCTGACCTTCACCCCGGAGCCTAGCCACAGCCCCACAAGGAAGGGGGCAGGGCGGGGAGGCTGCACATGCGTCCAGGGTGCCCACAGAGGTTCAGGAAGCGGGGAGAGCCGTAGACTCCGGTTTCCACAGGGCACCGTCCAGCAGACAAGGCGGAGAAAGGGTGAGCCCTGGTTGGGACAGAACCAGTCAATAGGAAGTGGCCTCAGGGACCCAGGAGCTCCAGAGTAACCAGGACTCATTCACAGAATTAAAGAGTGTCTTAACTAAGTGGGAAGAGGGAACCTCGGCAGAGACCCAGAAACTCAGGAAAACCGAGGGGATGTATTTGGCCTGGGAAGCACACTGAGTGGGGGAACACTCCCTCCTGCTGGAGCAGTCCAATGGCTGGGCACCTCCCTTGCCTCAGGGGGGCTCTCCGTGGGGCCTCTCCTTGCCCCTTCCCTGCAGCGGTTTCAGGGTCTGTGTGAGATCGGGGTTTGACCGCCTGCCTTGGAGGTTTGAGCAGGAACAGGCACCTTATGGGTAAAGGTGTGAGTGCCCTGGGGCCACGTAAACCAGAAGGATTGTCTGCTCTCCATTCTGGGGGCCAAAGTCCAGAATCAGGGTGTGGGCCGGGCCGCGGTCCCAAGAGGCAAAGGCGCAGAGCCGGAGGAGCTGTACCGCCACAGCCTCGGCCGCCATGGCCCTCACGGTCACAAAGCCCCTCCTGAGGGTCTGTGCCTGTGGCCCAGGCGCCCCTTTGATCAGGACCCTGCTCCAGATGGCCAGGTGAGGTCTTGCTCATACGTCTTCCTGGGCGCACACCTCAGCCACAGCGTCACTGCACCGGGACCTGTTTGAGTAACGAAAAGTCCACTTTGTCAGGAGACATGTTTTTCTGGTTCCTTAGCTCTCTTTGTAAATGCCTTTAAATTTTGTCCTAAAACGTTTATTCTGGGAAAGGCAGACTTCTGTATAAATGGAGACTTTGAACTTCTCTTTGGATGCACGTTTGTAAGCTTTGGGACAGTGACTTACTCGCAGGAGGTGGCCAAGGAAAGGAAGGAGCTTTTGCCTGGACCTTGAGGCTGAGCCGCCCACCGGCTCCAGTACGTTTCCTACAAACAGGGACTTGCGCCCACTGCCCGTGGTCGTGTGAGGCTTGTGCTTCAGAGTCTTCTTTGCTGTGAATAATTTACATCCCTAACCTTGTCGAGGTGTGCATATGTGTGCACGTGTGTGATCTGCAGTATTGGTGTGTGTGCATACATGTGATGAGTGATGTGTGTTGTGTGCGGTCTGCAGTATTGGTGTGCGCATGCGTGCATGTGCGTGTGTGTACATGGCACGCGTGTGCACGTGTCATGTGGGGAGGTGCGTGTGTGTGCAGACCCTGCTCCCGCGGGAGGGGGGCTGCCTGCAGGTGCTGCCCCCCCCACAACAGGTGGGGGTCCCACGGGGGAGTTAACCCTGGGGTGGGGGTGAGAGCCTTTTCGAAGCATACGGCAAGGTCTGTATGCGCTGAGCAGTGCGTGGGCTGCATGGAGGCCGTGCCCGCCAGATGGGGGCAGTGCCGCCCGTGTGGGAAGGCCTTCGCACTGCTGTTCTGCCCCGTGATTTCATCCGCCCTGGAGACGGTCAGCTGGAGAGTTGGGCTCCTCAGCATCTCACCACCTTGGCCCATGATAGGAGACGCTCCAGGTGTGCACCTTGCTCTCAGGTTTCGCGTGCTTGTTGGCATCGGAGGGACCCACCTGGTGCGTGGCCTGCCCCACAGTCTCCAGTTGATGTGGGACCATCGGCCTCCTGTCCCGTGTGCTGTTCCTTCTCTGACAGAGTTTTTTGTGGCCTTCGGTCCATGAACATTGGAGTTTGAAGGGACCGCAGTGCGAGTAGCCTGTCGGGCTCTGAGCTGGGAGCGTGGACAGTGCACCTGCTGGGGGGGAGGGCTGCAGGCGGGGGGGTGCATGTCCTTGACCCCCGGGCCAGCGCTCAGCGTGGACACTGGTGCCGTCGCGTGTTCCCTAAACCGTGTCTTGTGCTTGCAGGTGTGCCTGCAGTGTGCAGCCCTGGTGTGGTGCCCGTGGCCCTGCCCCCAGCAGCCGTGAGCGCCCAGCCCCGCTGCAGCGAGGAGGACCTGAGAGCCATCCAGGACATGTTCCCCAACATGGACCGGGAGGTGATCCGCTCCGTGCTGGAAGCCCAGAGAGGGGACAGGGACGCAGCCATCAACTCCCTGCTCCAGATGGGCGAGGAGTCCTAGAGCCCCGGCCGCCACGTGGCCTCGGCCCTCCCGGTGTGCTGGCCCGGCCCCTCCCCCCCTTCCTGTGAAGGAGCCCTGTGTAGCCTTTTCTCGGGCGTCTGTAGTTCCAGTCCTCACCCTCGTGTGGGATGCATGTGGGTGGTTGGTCCCCGGCCGCTGAGCCCTCCGTCGCTCGGGCGTGGGTGTGCGTGGCTCTCCTCCTGGCTTCGTTGGGAGCAGAGTAGGCACGTGGGCCGTGTCCTGTGTACGCACACTCGCCCTCCCGCCACTTGGGGATACGTGTCTTCGTGTGCCGTGGGCTCCCTCTCCGCACGCTGTCCCAAGATCACGCTCTGCAAGCACCTGCCAACGCTTTAGAAAGTGTCGCTGTTCTCCAGGTTTGATTAATGGCATGCAGTTTACTTAACCGGAGTAGACCTATTATTTCAGGCACATAGAACATTAACAGCCGATTTGGGTTATTTTTACAACTTTCAACCTTAAAATTCACATCCTTCTGTGGATGTTCCTTGTCTGTGGTTCTGGGCTGCTCACCAGTGTCTTGGGCAGACCGACTTCCATGTTGCCCGCCCAGCGGCAGGGTCTGCACAGATGCAGATCGCACTGGATCCGGGGGGCGCTGAGCCCAGCAGCCCGCCTGTCCCCACCCATGGGCTCTGGAGCAGGGCCGTCCTGGGCCCGGGGACCCTGTGATGCCTTTTCCTGCTGTCTCCTGCCAACTCTGTGGGGTGTGACTCCGAGGGGTTGCCGCTCCATTCTCTGACCAACTCTCGGAACAGAACCTTGAAACTGGGAATAAGAAGTGATAGGTCCAGTACTTTGTATTTGTTTATTAAAGGGTATTTAGGAACCGTTGGCTTACTACTGACGTTAATTTGAGTAAACACTGTGAATTTACTTTGGGTGAGAGAAGCAGCAATCTGGTGAATGTTTAAGTCTTCCTGGGAGGCCTGAGGTGCGTGTGCCGCGCTGTGGGCTGCATGGCAGCCGTGGCCGCGGGACTGGGACAGGTGGGGGGGGACACCTCATGAAAATCAGCCACGTGAGAGGTTTGTCAGGTGCTGCTTGCAGCCTGTGCATGAGACGCTTGCCTTTGGAGAGGGAGTCTTTCCGCCATGGGCACGATGGGCCCCAGCAGCGTGGCCCTGCGAGGGGTCAGCATGAGGGTGGACTCCTGTGTGCCGCCTTCCCCCTGCCTGGGGGAGTTTCCTGTCGGCTGGAGGACGCTGCTTCTGCTGCCACCAGGCGCGGGTCGGTCGGAGACGTGTGCACAGAAGGCTGAAGGAGCGCGAGCTGGCGGCAGGGTGGCCGCACCAGCCAGGCCCCTCAGTGAAGACGCCGCCAGCCGGTGGACGCCGACCGCTGGCTTGGACGTGTGAGCTCTGCTTTCTCGTGGAGCGCGAGTTCCCTGTTCAGTCAGTTTGGGGCCATGCAGCACGTTTCTCCCCAAACAGAAAAAAGTGTCGGGCAGGCCCGCAGCTCTCCTGTGGGGACAGCCTGCACGGACGCGCAGCGCAGGCCCCGGGCTCCCAGAGGCCCCAGTGCCGCTTCCCGCCTCCCCATTGCTGGAATGTCTGGGCGCGTCGGGGACGTGCTCCTTGTGGGGACAGGCGCGGAACCCGGCAAGCAGCCCAGCGGGCTCACTCACGGGACCTCGGTTGGCGGGAGAGGGACTCTAAACCCTTCCCTTGTGCTCCCTTCCTCGTGAACACTGTGACATCGGAGAGATCCCTCACTCCGCAGGGCCTTCTGGTTGTGTTAGGCCCTCCTTTCCTTGTTCGTGCCCCGCCGTCCTGTCTGTGGGCTCGTGGCCTGTGGCGGCCTGCTGCTCCTGCAGAAGGGGTGGGTCACATTGCAGTTCCCCTGAAGCAGGCCTGGGACGGGCCGATGACATGGCCACAGCGTGGCCACCATGGACTCCCGCGAGCCAGGGCGGCTGCTGGTGTCTGGGGCCCCGTCCCTCGTGGCCCCGTGCATGGCCAGGTGGCAGACCCCGGGGGCCTCCGTGAGCTGGTCGATGGCCTTTCCTCCAGATGCAGCCCCCCTCCCCCAACGCTGAGGACGGAGCGATGGTGTGTGCCGGGGATTCCTCCCGCCTGCCCTGCAGCGTTCCTGGAGGCGCTCCTCCCCTTACCGACTCCTCTGGCCGCAGCTTTGTGCGCTGGTGGGAACGATTCTCAGAGCTGTTTCCTGTGCTTCTGTCGGGGTCCAGTGTCCGGAGTTACCTTTGATTGTAAAGTATATTTTTGCTTTTCGGCCTTCTAATTTAATATGTGATATCTATAAAAGTAGAGAATTAAACTTCTCCAATGAAACTTTACCATTTTTGTTCCCGAGTAGTTTTTAATTTAGCTCAGAATACATTCACTCGCTAACAAGCTACACGGATGGTTGTATGAGTACAGGTGAAATTTAATGGCTGGATTCAGAACATTAACCTGAAATATTTATACCCAGCATGAAGTTTTGTTTTTCAATTAAAATATGATGGAGAGAGAGGCGCCTGGCTGGCTCAGTTGCTTAACCCTCTGCGTTCGGCCCAGGTCACGATCCCGGGGTCCGGGGATCGAGCCCCACGTCAGGTCCCTGCTCAGAGGGGAGCCTGCTTCTCCCTCTGCCCTGCCCTGTGCTCTCTGTCGCTATCTCTGTCTCTTTCAAACAAATAAAATCTTTTAAAAAAAATGACAGGGAGAGGTTCAGGGCCGGCAGGGGAGGCAGCTATGTGCCCCCACCCTGTCCCCAAGGTCAGGTGCCGCACAGTGTTTCTTCCATGTAGCTGGCTGCCACTTGCTGTGTGTCGCCATGAATGTCTGGTTTGGTTTTTTTTTTTTTTTTTTTTTTAAGATTTTATTTATCTGAGAGGGAGCACGAGCAGGGGGAGGGACAGAGGGAGAAGCAGGCTTCCTGCCAAGCAGAGAACCCGATGTGGGGCTCAATCCCAGGACCCCGGGATCATGACCTGAGCCCAGGGCGGACGCTTAACGACTGAGCCACCCGAGCGCCCTCGCCATGAATCTTTTGCCCAAAGCAGTGGAGGAAAGCGCGTGTGCTCGAGCCCGACATGATGTGAGGAAGCAAGGAGCGCTTCTGTTCTGAAGCTTGGGACAGAGTGCCCAGGATGCCATGGGCAGAGCCAAGCTCTAAGGAGTTCCCCAGGCGGGTGCGGGGGCTGCACGGAGGGTCAGCGCAGTGGGGTGGGGGTCTGTCTGCTTAGCATGTTCCCAAGCATGCACGCGACAGGCGCCCAGGCGTGTTTGGAGGTGCTGAGGTCCTGGGTGTCCGGGCACGAGCCAGCTTGGTTCTGTTCTGAAGCCTCAGGCATGGCTCCTGACAAGGGGCCAGCATCCAGCTTGCTGCGAGGGTGAGCTCGAAGGAAAGTGCCCGCCGCAGAAGGAGGTGACAGGCGATTGCCAGAAGCCCGCTGTGGCCCAGGAAGCCCCGGGGGAGAAAGCCGTCTTAGGTTGGTGGAAGCAGAAGCACGTTCTTTCTGGAGGAACGCAGTATTGGTTTGGCCTCTGAGGACTTGAGCGCACGCGGCCTCGTGTGTGCTTGGGCAGACGGTCCGCACCAGCAGGGAGTAGCCATGAGTGAGGCTCAGCAGAAGAATCCACACAACCAGACCTCAAGGGCCACAGTGTCAGACTCCACTGAGCGCCACACGGGGACCTAAAATGTGAAAACAGGACAAAACAAAGTGCGAGCAGAGATCGGGAGGCTGCGCACAGGATGGGACAGAGCCCGACAGCTACTGGCAGTGAAGACGCGGCCACTGGAGTGGGCATCTGAACGGACAGATCGGTGGCAGGTTGGACACTTCCCAGGGGACCGCCGCCCCCGGGGAGCGAAGGACCGGGGTGGGAGGGGGGACGCTTGACTCGGTTCAGGAGTCACAGTGAGCCCCACGGGGCATGGGGCTAAGTGCCCGTCACCTCTGTGACACGCATCTGTACCAACTGGGAAACACGAGTGTGTGACGTGGGGCACACGGGTTCTAGTCCGGGGACGGTGGTGATGTGGAGGGTACAAGACGCCGGCTCGCTCCGTGTGAGTCACGCTGCCTGTTACCATGAACCCACTGGCCCCGTGATCCTGGCATGCAAGTGCAGGATGTGGCCTGGGGTCAGGGCAGGGGCTAGATGGGGCTGTCCTTGCAGGCAGCCCTGCGCTCTGCCAGCCCCCTCCCCCATACCGTGGTTCAGACCGGCGGTTTGGTCTGGGGTTCAGGGCTCCCCACTAGCTGCACGACCGGTTACTGAACAGTGAAGGGATCGCTGGTGGGTTCTGCTGGCGGTAAGCCTGTCCACCCCAATCACTCATTACAGGCTTGGGGACATGACATCGGGTAGGTCCATGGCCCCATAACCCCTGATTTTATTTTTTATTTATTTTTATTTTGTTAAAGACTTACTTATTTGAGAGAGCGCACATGTGTGTGAGAGAGAGGGAGGGGCAGAGGGAAGGAGCGAGGGAGAGAATCCCCAAGCTGATGCCCCGCTGAGTGCAGAGCCCAACGCGGGGCTCCATCCCAGGGCCCTGAGATCCCAGGACCCAGACGCCCAACTGACTGAGGCACCCAGGTGCCCCCATAAGCCCCAATTTTAGTGGGGCCCTGGTGTCCCATCTGATCCTGGAGCACCACTGGGAAGGGCCAGGGTCGTCACCCTGTGTTGCTGGTGCAGCGCTGCAGGACCGTCCTCCAGCCGGCAGCTCAGGTCCGGCTGCCGGCCTCCATCGAGGAGACTGTTCTGTGTGCTGTTCCGTGTGAGCGTGCGGCCCCTCCAGCTTGCCCCGGAGCCCTAGGGCCCAAAGCCTGTCCCTGCAGGTTCTCACCACCCTTGCCTCTGCTCTCTGGGGAGCTGGTTTTGTCACAGTGTCCGCGACTCCGAGGTTCCCGGTCCAGGTGCCCTCCTCACATGTGCCACCCTGGAACACGGGCTAAGCCTTCCGGTCCCTTCCTCAGCACCCACAGGGTCGTTCGGGCGGGCCCCCAACTTCCCAGAGCCAAGCCAGCTGCATGCAGTCAAGCTCCAGCCCCGGCCTGGCCGCTCCAGAGCTGTGCCGCAGCCCAGAACACGTCGCCAGGGCTGTTTGGACGCGTGGTGTTCGCTGCTGTCGCTGCTGCTGGCTCGCCGTCTGCCGCCTCTCCGCTCTCTGCTCTGGCTTTTGCATCAGCTCTTCTGGGTTTTCCGTGTGCGTGAGGATATCCTCGAAGGTCCGTCCCTGCCACTGTGACGGCGCCCAGGCCCTGGGCATAGAGCACGGACGCTTCCGCCTCCCAGCTCTGGGGCTGACGTCCCCTCCGTGTCCTCACGTGGCAGAAGGGGCAAGGCGGCTCCCTGGGCCTCTCTACAAGGCGCCCATCCCGTCGTGGGGACTGCACCTGCCCACAGCCCCGTGGCCAGACACCATCACACCTGTGCTTTGGCGGACTCGCCGAGTCTCAGGAGTTGGCTTCTCGTCTTCCCCGTGGCACACCCCTCCTGCCTTCACACAAGCACAAGATGAGGACTGAGAACAAACAGGTCCCCCTGCCTAGGGGGCCAGAACGAGGCCCGGCCCCTGCGGGCCCGCGCCCTGGGGCGGGGCAGAGATGCCAGACGAGAGGGTGAGGCAGGGTGGGCGGGAGGGCTCTCCTGCTCGCATTCCGGGGGCCGGGACAGCTCTGACGCAGAACGCGAGCAGTCCCCACAGGTGAGGAGCTGGGGTGGGGACACAGAGCCCGTGATCACAGCCCCCCAGAAGCATTGCCATGTTGGGCACAGCCCGGAGGGCTCAGGGTTCCGGTGGGAGAAGGTGCAGCTGGAGGGACAGCCAGGAGAGGACGTTTGGGACAGGGGTGGGGACCGAGGATGCAGGGGACTTCGGAGTCCTGCTCCCACCTCTGCACACTCCTGCATCTGCCCTCACATCTGCTCAGGCTGGGTCACATCCTTCATGTGCTCAGAGTGCCCAGCAGTCCCGTCCTGCTTGGGTCAAGGCTGGAGCCCTTGCAAGTGCCTCCAGACTTCTCTCCTCCACCCACTTCCCCACCCAGCTGCTGGTGAGCCCTACCCGAGGGCCTTTGCACAGATGCTGGCCTCCCTTTAGCCTCTCCTAAATGTCCCCTCCTTGGGCCGCTTTCCTGGCCACCCTGGCAACTCCCTGCTCCTTCCCACACCTCCTAGACCCTCTGGACTTACACATATTGTCATTTATCTTCTCACCATCCTTGTGCAGATGCTGGCTTGCTTGGGAACTCGGGGGAGCGGGGTCTGCTGCTCATTTCCCCTGTGCCCACACAGCAGGTGCCCGGTCCACACGCGGACAAAGGGAGGAAGGGCTCAGGTCCCAGCCCCGTGCGCGCTGCGGCCCTGGAGTAACCAGGTAGGCCATCCAGTCGCCTCCGGGGCGCGAGTGCATGGGGCGTCCTGTGTTTGGGTGTGCAGAGACCCCAGGCCTTCCGGGCTTCTTCCCTGGTGCTGAGGGAGCTGAGTTGTTGTCATGACCTCTTTGATCCAAACACCTTTTGAACTGTTCATTTCTGAAGAGCAGTCTTTGTGGAAGAAAAGCCGCAGCCAGGTTTTATGTGAGGCTTGAAGCTCTCAGGTCGTGAGATGTACAAGGACCGCGTCAAGGGCTGTGCTGCTTCCCACTGGGCAAAGCCCCCAGGAGAAAATGCTGGCCCCACCCTGCCATGGGGGTGGGGCGGTGGAGGACGTGTGCTGACGGTCGGTGGACATGGAACAGACCCGTGAGGCGAGGAAGTGCGTGAGCGGGGCTGGGTGTGTGCGTCCGTGGTGACCGGAGCGCAGCCGGTTCCTCAGAGCGTCCGCTCCTGGCTGCTGGCATGCTTGTGGAAACATTAGCCCCGACGGAATGCAAAATATTCTGTGTACTCACTTGTAACGCCCATCGCTGTAAGGTATCCCCCAAATGAAAGCAATGAACCTCGCTTATGACGGTGGAAATGTGAAAGCTAACGGACGTTACGATGCAGGACTCGCTGACTCAGCATGGAATGCCTCCCATTTGTCTCCCCCCTGACGTGTGACCCTGATTTGCCGTCATCCTGTAGGCCTTCGCGTCAGTGTGGGGGAGTAAACGCCACAACGAGGAAAGAACAGAGCGTGTGGCATTCACGCCTAGGCCGGCGGGATGTGTGTAGCCGGACTGAGGGGTGTTGAGGAGGAGGGTCTGGCCTGGGCCCTGGGCTGGGTGGGGCTCTGCCCGCGGAAGATGGACCACCCCTCGGCAGCTGGGCGGCACCCTTGAGATTGTGGGGTGGGAGCTCTGCCCTCAAAGCTGACCCACCATGAAGCTCCATGCCCCGTGCTTCCAGTC